AAGAGCACTTGCGTCAGCAAGCGATTGCAGGGCTGAACTTTTATTTTTTTTTCACTTAAAAAATTTCCGTTACATTTTAGGGTGAATGTGCAAAACTTCAGATCTGTTGGTGTGTTTGTCTACAGGCCTCTCTGCACACAACAATGCAGGCTTGACGTGAGTACACATTAAACGATTCATTACGTGGGTTCGCTGGTACAACACACGAGTAGCCCTAATCTTAACCCAGGGGAATCGCCCCCCACCCCCGCCACGCAACTGTGAATAGAAAAACGCGAGCACAGCGACGCCATCTGTCCACTACGTTACGTTACCAGGTATGATGCAACGAGCACACTTTGACTTGCAATCCATAAGTCTTCGGGTTCGATCTTGCGGCGCGGCGCTCGACATAATGAGTCGGGTATAGATTGGAGCGCACGCCCCACCCGTCTTTGTCCAACCAGTGGTACCAATGTGTAACACCGCAGTTAATTGGTAGGGGAGCGTGCGCTGGGATAAAGTGTGGGTACTTGCACCGCTTTCAGGACGTATTGCCAGCGTGGAAGAGTAGACCAAGATAGTATCCAGAGCTCCTTCTGCCAGCAGTGGCGTGAGCAAGCAGCTGCAGTGCTGCACCTTTATCATTCAAAGCACGAAAATGTGGAATGTAGATAAAATAATGCGGTGTTGGCTTAGTTACTAAATTGGCTAAATAAAGCAAAAGTACGTGAAGCAGACTCGAATTTTGTAGATATAAAATTAAAGTGTACTACCTGAATTGTAGGAGATCTTGTTTTGGTTAACTACAACGTTAACGAAACAACAACAAAAATAAGATTAACATCATGACAACATTTGTTTACTCAATCACAAGTTGTATCTTCACCTTCGAATATAATACTTGTTTTGTCTGTTATGTGTGTGGTACGATTGCTATTTTTTACATCAGATTTTGTCTCACATCATGAGTCACGTCACTACAATTCGGGTTTGATAATGATATGTAAACGTGTACAACCCTCGCTAACCAGCATGGTGAAGTATGGTAATGGGGTAAAGATGTCCTGATTCAGCAGAGGAATTGGTTTCCCTACTCGTTCATAGAAAGATAATTCCTATTTTTGGGACCGCTTTACTAATACTACATTACCACGTGTAGCTGCATCGTGATTATGGAACATTTAGAATAATGTATTCGTGTGCATCTGATATGAATCAATACTTAAACTGCGTGGACGGTTAATATATAAAATCATAAAGGAAAGCAGCTGGCAATAAACAGAAAAAAAATCCCAACAAAACTGCACGATCTTACGTGGCTATGGCATATTATTTCATCGAATATTACACAATGAAGACACGAAACGATGCAGAAACTTAGCGTAATTATTATATTACAATCTAACTGTATTACTATTTAAATGTGGGCGTTTTTTGTTGTTGCATTTGGCACCGGTGCCTCGAATACCGTTAAACAATAGTGGGCTAATCATGAATCCACACCACAGGGTCTCGAGCGTTCGTCCACTTTGGGGGGATTCACCATGGAATCGAACTTTAGACTTGGCGGCAGCGTCGAACCCGACTCAAGTGGCTTCTCCTTCTCCTTCTTTCGTGTGGACTCATAGCGGCAGATTAAATGTGTCATTTGTAGATGTTGTTGTCCACTCGATTGTCCGTTCAGACGCAGAGTGGATCTGGTCCCGTTCCCCCTTTAAGGGAGCGAAGACAGCGGCTGCTGTTCACAATGCTGTCGATTGTTTGGGATCGGTGGCCGCGCTCGAAGGTCGACGGAATCTTCGACGCGTCATTTGTGCAGCACGTGACCGCATCGGCCATCGTGGCATTGCAGTGCCAAATTCAAGCCGAGCGGCTTTGAAATCATAAATATACTTCGGTAACATGCAACGTGTTTTCATTTCATTTGTGATAAATTATTCATTGTGGTATTGCGCAAGCCTTCTTCAACATTTATAACTATTTAAAGTCACTTTAACAACCATTTATGATAATAAAAAAACAGGTTACTTATTAGGGCTGTGCGTGTAGGGGTTTGCCCTGTTCAATATTTAACTACTTTGTATATACCACAGTGAGCTAAGGCTAATGCATTTCAACTGCCCACTTGCTCCGTAAAAGTTCCTGGGTATATATAAAACTTGTGCAATGTCAGCTTTACAAAACGTTCACAAATACACCCGCAGCTCATAAAAAATGTTTTTTTTAATTAAAAGAAAGCAGTCCTTATCGTTTTAAACTGTATAATATATGTATTATTTACTTTTAACATATATATGACTGAGCACTTGGTGTATTATAGAGGTGTACAGATGTGGAAATTCGTTCATGAAAGCATTGTCAGGGAGGGCATGTTTGGTAGATGCACGCATACGTGCAACCTGCTTTTTGGTAAGCCACTGCCTCGTTACGCCTTGCGCACTGTGAGATGGCTTATTTGACCAAACTTCACCACGCTGGTCAAAGAAGGTTGAAGGTGGCAGGAGTGCGGAACAACATTGGATTTGACTGCACTGCCTCCAGCTGCCCACAGCGCCCACTGCACCTATCTGCTTCCCATGGTGGTCACTCATGCAAGCAATATCAAAGCTCCGGTCCTGCTCATTTAGCTTACGAAATCTGACGAAATCAGGCGCATTCTAGGTGAGGAATTAACCAACACAGTACAAACAATTATTTACAAACTAAGGGGTGGGACTCTTCTACGTTTATGGTGGAAATTCCACATTTCCATGACAAACAACCACTATTGACACCCCCACCACCCACCACACACAGCCGCCGCGAATACAATCCGGACATGATCTGGAAATCTGGACAGAATACTTTCATAATTTGTATCATATGTGCATCTTCACTCAAGCAACCATTTGCTTAATAGACGTACTAGTACGAAGGCCTACGGGTAAGCACATCAACTAAATGCCGTTTCACAATCGTCTCCTGGCTCCGAGGTGGCCTGGTAGATGGATCCTTGAATCCGTCTGTGCAGAGCGTTTTATCGTTGCCCCCTTCCCTAGTGTGCGTGTTTTCTCCGGGCATCGTCCGGTTTCCTCCGACAAAAAACACCAACGTTTGAAGGACCGGTCAAAAAAATAATACCGATGCAGAGGGCACTCCTGGAAAATAGTCTTGCGACTCACTGAAGTTCCCCCCCCCCATTAAACACTGCGAGTGGCATTGCAGTGTCAACATAAGCATTACATTCAAGTTAGCCAATCTCGTCATATATTGAGGACTGAACTCATTACAGCAGTTCTCTCCAGACAAGCTGTTTTAAAAGAAAAGGTAATCAGAACGTTTTAGAGCTAAGCCGTCGCCAGTGCTAAAATTTACGGTTTTGCGACAGCTCGGGTTTATGAGTGCGTGTGTGTTCATAGGGCGTATGGAGAGCGGTGGCCCCTGCAGTGAAGGCAGTGCCGATGATCCCGGAAACGTGAGTTATATTCCTGGCAATGCACATCACCATGCAGTGGTAATTACTACTGTACAGGGTGCTACAGATATCTTGTGACCTCCAATTCTTTGACCCCTATCATTTTTTTTTCCTTTGCATATTCATTTATGTTTAAAAAGAAAACAACCTTACTTAAACAAAAATATATATCAAGTTTTTGATAATTAAAAGGGGTCACAAGACATCAGGAGCACCCTGTACAGTCCTGTCGTACGGTAGTGTGGGGTCGACTGATTAGTGCTGGCCGTGTTGGCCTCAATAGGTGCTCGCAAACAGCATTAAGCTACGGACAATGTATGCCACAAAAAGGCAATCGCTTATCGTGTACACGGCGGTGGTGCATGTGCCGTGGCGGTTACGACAGCGTGCTTGCGATCAGCCTGGGCAGTGTTCACGCTATGGATAAATGTCATCACGAATAATCCGAATGTGGAGCGGTGGTGCAGCGGTTAGCGCACAGCGCTGGTAAGCGGACAACCGCGATGGCTGAGCTAAGCTCGATCCCCTCTCCCCCCGTCCCCCCCCCCCCCCCACACACAGACGTTTACCCCACCCGTGGCCCCAAACACCGAGGTTCGCTTCCCGACCACGGCTAACCATCAGGGGCGAGTGAAGCCCTCTGAACCGACTCTGGTCCAGTATCTTCAACGGCCCAACACCAACCAACGTGGATGAACGTGGAGTCAAGCAGCTCCCCCCCCCCTCCCCACGACTCAGGCGGCTTGACAACGCCTTCATCCAGCAGTGAACTGACAAAGGGCTACACACTCTTTAATACCTTATACACGACGAGTAGACAGCCGCTAAGGTCAACTCAGCCTTAAATACCGGTGCAGAACCCACGTGGCAGCAGCAGTACTGGGTGATACGAAGGGCCGCCGGGCGTGGTGCTGCCAACACAGCCACCCCCCACACACACACACTCTCAAACTCGTGCCAGGCGCATTGTCTGGCTTCGCAGATGCTCGCGAGCAGCACGAGACGAGCAGTCTGCGCATCATAAGTGGCCTTTTTTGTACGTTGTCTTTGTTGGAGGGTAGGTGTAGAGTGTCCATTGAGATGCAGACGGGTACCCCCCACCCACCCCAACTCACTCTCTCCGCAGGTACCTGCTCGCTCGCTGCTGCCTTGGGGACATTGCTTGCATCAAATTCCAATGTAAAAATGTTTTAAGTGGTTCAATAAAAGACCCCCCTCCATCCAATCCGTGCATTCCCCCCCCCCCCCAGTATATCATTCCAATCCAGCATCTCCCCCCCCCTCCCCTTTCCACACCAATACCCCGTCATTCGCACACCAAGTGGCGGTGACGTCACAACGGCGTCCGTGCCAGGCCAGGTGCACCTTGAGGCCACGTGCAGTGTCGACGGTTCCAACAGAAACCCCATCGCTGCGCGGACCCAGCCTACACCCCTCTTCCGTCTCTCTTATCTTGAACCCTGCTGCCAATGCTAAGCGTCCCAGCAGATGACTATCAGAAGCAAACATGTCTACAGATAATGGCAGGGGAGGTGGGGGAGGGAGGTTGGAGACAGGCGGGCAGAGTAAAGTAGATTCGGGGGGGGTGGAGGAGGTGAATGAGTCAAAGGGCGGACGCTTCGGGGCTCATTGTCCTTCCCGCGGGCCAAATCGTGTGATCGGCGCCAGGACACGTTTAATTGCTAATTAGAGACACACACACACAGAGAGAGACACACACAGAGCGAGTTGTCGCTGCTGCTGCTGCGTTCGTGAGCGCTCCGGCTCAGAGCCGCTCTCGCCTCTCCGGCTGCGTCCGCACCGCCCCTCGCCGCCCGCGCATCGAGAACCCCGCCCCACGCCGTCACGGCCTCAAACTCCTGCTGCTGCTGCTGCTGCTGCCTCCTCCTTGGTCGCAATCCGTCCCTCCCCTCCCCCGAAACACCCTCGAGCGGCAGAGAAGGGCTCCAAGCTCGTGCGCTGCGGCTGTTGGGCTCAGTTGCCGGGATGAATGCGCGCTGAGAAGGAGAGAGAAGCAGAGAGGCAGGCAGGCAGGGAGGGAAGGAGGAGGAGGAGGAGGAGGGGGAATACTCTTTGCGATTCTTCTTTGCGCTTCCATAGCCGTGGACTCCGGCACTCGGCGACGTTTCAGTTCGTGCCTTGGGGGTTTTTTGAGTTGCATTCACACACGTGTGTTGGTAGCAGCAGCAGCAGCATAGAGGGCAGGCTCTTACAGCAGCAGCAGCTGCTGCATACGGGGGTGAGGTTGTTGTCAGCTGTAGTGGGAACGAAGGTGGTTCAAGTCGCGCGTGTTGGATGTTGCTGGTCGCGGGGGCGCGCAGGAAGGCAGCTCGGTTCGGCTCGGCTTAGCTCGGCTCGGTTCGGCTCGGCTTGGCTCAGCTCGGTTCGGCTCGGCTTGGCTCAGCTCGGTTCGGCTTGGCTTGGCTCGGCTCGGCGAGCGATCGAGCGCTTTGACGTGGAGGGGGGGGGGGGTGGGTCCGCGAGCGTCTGTGCGGCAAAGAGAACGCAAGGAGTTAGTGAAGTTTGACACTCGTTTAGAGAAGTTTCTCCCACCCCACCCCGCGTTGCTGCGCCGCGCTGTTTGGCACAAAGCGCAGCGTGAGACGGCGAGGGCTGCGGCGTGGCGATTTCTCTGCATTCTCTTGCCGAGAGAGGAGGAACAAGCTGGGGAGGGAGAGAGGAGAGGGGGGGGGAACGAGCAACTTTACTCAACGGCAGAACAAAGAGCTGCGCTCGGGAAGGAAGCCTCTAACTTGTTCCTTATGACCGGGTTGTGGGCACTTGTTAGGGCAGCCTATTAGCTCGGTATCAAGCGAGCGGCACGCGGGGTCGAGTGGCGCGCTGACAACGAACGAGAGCACCGCAGCAACGCCAGCAAGCTCACACCATGCGCTCTTCAGTGACATTGGAGAGGTGGTGGTGGCGGCGGTGGTACTGATACGGGGGGGGGGGGGGGGGTTCTGTGTTCGAGGCAGTCGAGGTTGGCGATAGAATCGGCAATAGGACCGGCAGGCGTAAGACGAAGGGGAGCGGAGCGGACGCTTTGGGGTCACTCTGGCTGAATTCCTAGGCGTTGTTGTTATTGGGTCACCAACACTCCGACGACCTAAACGCGATGGAGCGACTTCCGAATGTCCTGGCGCTGTGGATGCATTTGGAAGTGTGGACCCTGCTCCTGGTTCTGGCTAAAGGTAAACGCTTGTGGCCGAGGCTACCGCTTACGTGGGCTGCCAAATGTCTCTTGTTTTTGACTTACTGCGTATTGCGTATGCACACACAGTGTTGCGTATCTGTTCAGACGACTGTGTGTGTGTGTGTGTTTTATATGCACAGCGTTACGTGTGTGTGTGTCAGCAAGCGTTGCGTGCTGTGTTGTCATGTACACAATGCGTTGTGTGGAATTGAACTCAAAAGCTGCACGTGAACTGTATTCAACCGAATGCGTGCGTGCGGCATGATGTGCGCGCGCACACGCACACACACAATGCTGTGTGTGTGCGTGTTCAAAGAAGTGTCCGTGGGTTTTTTCTTCCCCCCTTACTCTTGTTTGAGTTACTGGCGGGGGATATCTTGTGCTGCCATCTCTGGTCTGCACGCACGCACACAATCCGCGTCTGTAATGGCTATCTCCAAAGCGGTTCCCGCCGCTGCCTCTGGTACTATATAGCACAATTGTCGGGGTGCAGTGATGGATAAGTGCTAAAGGTACCGCAATAGATCGCCGCTATGAGCAAATTACTTTCTGAGTCGAGACGATGAGTTTGGACGCTCAAAAGGGCGCTTGTTCGTTTTCATATTTGGTAGCCTTCCTTTGCCAGTTGTGTCCATTCCACATTCCCACGGTGGTGTTTAAGTGTATTTCAAATGACCACCACTGGCTGACTTTCCACAGAGTAATGCTTTATCGACCCCAGAGGGATGAGATGAATTGACCGGTTGATCGGGATTTAAAACTCGCAACCTTCTGATCGCGAATTAAGCGCTTGTAACTGCTCTGGGCTGAATTGGAATGCTTTAAAATGTAAATGATCGTAACTTATGTGGCTTAAACTAGGCAGAAATAGCAAAAGTAGTTGGTAATGTGTGCGCATTCTGATAATTGGTATCGATGTAAGGGCAGCGCGTGATTACTCCATATGCCTGTCAACAAGACTTTGCATTCGTTAAACTAGAGTTCATAAGCCCTCCTCCAACTCAGCTGTATTTACTGCTCTTGAGGTCATCACGTGTCTTCACATAGCCCACACATGCCTAAGTAGCGGCCTGTATAACGCAAACTATATTGTAATTGTTGGCCATCATGTGGCGTAACTGTACCCCGCCATAGCAATGTGGAATTTTCACCACTGGCTCAGGGCGGTAAACGGAGATGCATAGTGCAGTACAATGTATGTATGCAGTATACGATTAGGCAATAGATGTTATGCTTGGTAGAACACGTGCGTGTGTGTGTGTGCAGGGTTGAGGAGAGCCGGTTACCGCGAGATGGGCATTGGAGTGGTCTCCATGAGTCTAGTGACCGAGGGGGAATACTCAAGCGCAGACGGTTAGAGATCGTTAGGGCAGATCTTAGAGGTCACGTGTGCAGGAACTGTGGGATCTGGCAGAGGGCAGTAAGAGTTTGGCGAGGCGTGGTGGCAGCATCAGCTTAGGCCTTACAGCTGCAAGGTTTTGATCTTGTGACCTGTACGTTATCACAATCATTATTTATGTTGGAGGAATACGATGAGATACGAAGCTCTTGTTTCACAGATGTCTGGGAGGGGCGGTTCAAAAAGTTTAAAAAACAAACAATTCAAAGACGCGATAGGAGTGCAAATCAGTAAAAAAATAAATGTATTTTACCAGGTAAAAGCCACTGAACTATGCCTCTTTTTCAGAAGTGACCTGGCCACAAATGATAGCTGAACGAATTGGCTCATGTGTAAATGTATAGCATGAGAGAGGGTTTAGGAGGTTGCTACGACTGAGCGTGAGAACATTTAGCTTGACCAGGTAAGAACCCTTTGAGACGAGGAGGCTCTACTTTCAAGGGTAAATCGAGTTTAAATGAGTGAAGAATAGCAAATGCCATTGTATAATTATGCAGAAAGCACACATAAAAAAATAAGATTTTCCAACTCACAAATAATGTTCAATTCATATAATATAATTTACCAATTTAGAAGTACATCTTCTATTCAACTGCTTCAGATCTTATTGCATTTGCTCTTTATAAAGAGACCTATAAAACAATAGTTACTCTACACAGGCACGTCTCATCACGTGTAAGTGTTGTAGTTGTTGTGGGGTCGATTCATTCAGTGACTTCGTACACAATTGCTTACTCTCCTGAAGGATGCACAATTTAATGCGATATCGTTTTGGAAAAATAATACATCTGGACAGCCGTAGGGATCTAAACGTCAAACTTTGTACAAACGGACACGGTGCAAAAGATTACGAGTCTATGCGCCTTCCTTCTAAATCCCATGTATTCCAGCAGCATTTGTGTAAGCTGGTCAACTATTCAGAGGTTTATATTTACTGAGTATCATCAGTGCATAAGGTACGAAGTAAAACAACCTCGCCACACAGCTTCCCCGCATAAACAAATGTTGCTGGGACACTTTGGTTCAGAATGCACACGTAGGCTGGTGAGCTCCAATGCTGTATATGATGTATATTTATTGGGGGTTTTGTTCACTCGCAATCCACCATGGCAACAAAACATGTAATTTGGAACATATGGTATATACTGTATATCAGGAATTGAGAATTATTCATTGGAGAAAATCTCAAATGTTCAGTTTCATTTATTAGGATTTACCCTGTGAGCCATTCGGTTCTTGATTTGAGTTCAACCACAACAAACAATAAAATTACAAGATACACCTAAAATTCATTGTACGCAAATCTAAATATCACATACGTAAACAATAAAATCCTACAGAAAAAGCACAACCCGTCCATGCCGCGTACAAAAAGTGCAAAAAAAATCCATTTCGATGTTTGATCCCAATAACAATCAATACAATACAGATCGAAATTTTAAGTATAAATCTATACTAATAAAAAATCGGGCCAAACCAAACTCCTCTAAAACTTACTAAAACAATGCTATATAAACAACGTAACAGTTTTCCCAACAAAACTCTCTGTGACCTCCTTACATAAAATAATTGAGCACGTTCATTCAATCCATGCCATGACTTCCCTAATCTACGACTTGCATATTATTGTTTTTGTTTTGAGTGTGTTAAGTACTCTACGATGCCTCTTAACATATTACACTTGCCCTGTCAGACAAGCACCCGCTGTGAGTGCTGCGATGTTTGATACAAGAGGCAACACTGGGATAAAAAAATACTTACTCTTTGGTTCTATTCGATAAAGTCACGTAGGTAAAAAAATAAAACAACAAAAATCACGACGTTTCGGCCACAACACAAGTGGCCTTCATCAGGTGAAGGGACCAGACTGTCTCTCGAGGACAGCGCTGGCAGATTAATTTAACACTTTGCTGCAATGTAATCGGAATATGCAGGCTTTGCCATCACAAAACAGATCTTCTAACAAGTAACCAGGGTTTGCTTTAAAATCAATAAATCCCAATGTTAATGAAGAATTGATTCAAATGCTGTAAAATACAGAAAACGCGTATTGATTCGCGTGACCTCTGAAGGTCACGGGAACATTGTATTAGTGGGATATTTGCAATCTGACTATTTATGTTATGCATTCGCTGCCTTTGTTGTGGGTTTAGATCAAGAGTAACCCCATAGCTCTCAAAGCAATCAATGCCATTCTATGGAGTGAGCATTGCCGTTCAATAACCAGTCTGGCTCCACGCCACTGCCCGTAATCAGTGGGACGATCTTCACGTGCCTGCCCTTGTGTTAGCGAGCGGTGGCACGGCCCAGCGGTTTGTCGCGGAGGTTCACGATTTCATTTCAGCGGTCGCCCTGGTTATTAACCATGAGCGTGTTAACCGCACAAGTACACACCGTCTGCTTCACCGTAGATATTACAGATCGCATGCCATCTCATTCGCGAGAGTAGGCCACTGTGTGCCAGCATCGTGGTCCCAATTTGGAAAGTTTGAAAATTTGTCGCAAATCACTGATTTGGGACTGTACGCAGCAAAACATTGCTCCTTTATTGAAAATAAAAGTGGGCAGGACCCTCGTGAAAGAGGGTCACGAGTCTCAGTGAGGCTTTCCTGGGTAAACAAGTGGAATAATAATAATAAGAGAGAGGGATTTGAAAATGATCCTACGTGGAAAGTGGGCGATGTCTCCTAGGCACCTCTCATGCCCTCCCTGCTGCCTGCTTACTCTCGGGGGTACATTTCTTTTGCCAGAATTGAGGAATTACAACAACCGGAAGAGCTCAAGTTCTGCGACGTAGGATTTCACGGTCGTGCTGTATATTGTTACTTGGGATGATGTCCAGTATTTTTTTCACGTTCTGGGTGCAAAACGTTGGACATCATGCTGAACAACCTAAAACACATCCAAGAACCGCTCTGGCTGCTGTAATTCCTTGGTGGAGCAGAAATTATCCACCTTCCATAAATGTGTTGTTCAGACCAACTATATCCCTATTTTATTTGGGACTAGATCTGTGATTCTACACAGCAGTATGTTGACATGCTTCCTATTCTGTCATTCATGGATTATGGGCCACGCTACTTTAATACATTATTACAATGGAGTTACTGGATTATTATTCAAATGTATGGGATCAGTGCTGTAGTATATTTTTCTCCACACTGGTGTGTTTTAGCAAACGTCTTGATCTAAAGAATATTGACAAATCTGATTGTTTGAAACCTCAAGTATCCTTAGCAGGTTTAAAAAAAAATCGACATTTGAGGAATACCTTATTACTTAAGTATTGTGGTTATTGGTATAATAACAGCCATTTGTCAATCCACTGCTGAATGAATGTCAACAACACAACACCATTATCAGTCATGGGGGTTGTTTGACCATACTTCACCACGCTGGTTAGTGTGGGTTGATGAATGTTGGGGGGGTGGGGGGCGGGACTGGTACAGATATAACTCACCACTGATGTTAGCTATGGCCAGGAATTGAACTTGGGTAATGGGTTCACAGGGCAGTGTGATCACTAATCCACCCCATCTTAAAAATTGCAACGGATCCATTGATGTGACAGTTGTCATTTGAATGACTGAATTAACAGT